TCTTGTGCTTGGGCTAGTTTCCCCTGCTTTCCCATTGGCCGAGATAAGGGCAGGCTGAGTAACTGATACATTCTGCGGCTTTTTCTTGGAAGAGGGGTTAAGGACACAGCTATCAGTCCTGTTCTGTCCTTTCAGGAGCAGATGCAATTGTGGGCTTCCATAGAGGCAGGTCACACTCCAGAGCACAGCTGAAGGAAGGGCTCCTTCTGCTTCCTCTCCCGGACTCGCCTGTTGGATGGGCTGTTTCCTCAGCGCCGGGAGGGGGCTGGAGTGTTAGTGGAGCTCCCATGCCGGGAAGGAGCTTGCGGTGTGCAGAAGCTGTGTGCCCCTCAGCAGTGTGTGGACGGCGAAGTGGTTTGGAGCAGCGGTTGCCAACTGGTGGTCCATGAGGGTCGAAAGGTTGGCGACCGCTGGTCTGGAGCACTCTCCCTGTGATGACGGAGATGAGCTTTCCCACGTGGTGTTGGGTGTAGGGTGAGGAGGTGAGGTTTAGTTCTGGAGAACCTGTGGTGGGAATCATGGGAATGTTGCTCTAATGAGAATACTGGCCCCGACAGCAGTTGGATAGGAAGTCTCCACAGGCTTCCATGGGGGGTCATTCATTGCAAGCTGTTCTTGGGGGAGCAGGGGAAGGGAGCTTGAAGAAGAGTATGTTGTACACTTACATTGTAGTTTCTTTCTGAGCTAAAGTCTTTAAAAAAACATTATTGATGGATTTGGGAGAGAGGAAGGAGGAGAGAGTGAGAAACACCGATTTGTTGTTCCACTTATTTACATATTCACTGGTTGATTCTTGTGTGTGTCCTGACCGGTTGGTGGTGAACCTGCAACCTTGGTGTATTGGGATGACACTCTCATCAACTGAGCTGCCTGGCCAGGGTTGGCCTAAGTCTTATCACCTTTTTAATTATTATTTAAAAAAATTCTTATACAATTGTAGTCCAGACTGTTTCTGAAACTGTAACTGCCCTGTCACTTCAAACCTGCAGTCATGAATTTGGGGCTGATGGAGGAGAGCTCCTGGGGCCCGGCTCTGCCCATGCTTACGCACACCCTGGCCTTCCTGCGGGTCCGGGGTGTGTGGTGAGCGGAGCTCTGTTCCCCAGGTTGTGTATGAGAGGTGTGAGAAGCTGCGGCCCACCCTGTTCCGGCTTGCCAGTGACACTGTGGATGATGACGACGCACTAGGTAACGGCTCTTTCTCTTGGCACAGGCAGCAGCCCAGGTGCAAGCAGGCGTGCGCCTTCCTGTTGTGCCTCTGGGGTGCCAGGAACAGGCAGAATGGACTTTCGGGTTTATGGTGATGGGCCCAGGAAGGGCATGACCTATTTTGATTTAGAACTGATTTTAGAAGAATCTAGTCTTGAGCAAGAAATCAGCATCTGGTCTGAAAGCATGGAAAGAGGAAATTTACCATGTAGATTGGGTGTGAGGGTGAGAGAAGAAAGAGTAGACAGTGCTGGTGGCCTGAAGAAAGGCTGGACGTCCCACAGAGGCCCAGCAGTGGCTGCCAGTGGTCATGTTGGAGGTTCCCCCAAACTGGGTGCCTTCAGGGGCTGGACAGGTAACCTAAGGAGTTAGTTGTAGGGAGAGTGGAGCAATTTTTTTAATCCTCACCCAAGGACATGCTTATTGATTTTAGAGAGAGGGAAAGTGTGTGGGGGAGAGAGAGAAACATCAGTGTGAGTGAGAAACATCACTCCATTGCCTTCCTACATGTACTCCCCCCGACTGGGGATCAAACCTGCAACCTAGGTATGTGCTCTGACCAGGAATTGAACTGTGCAACCTTTTGATGTACAGGATGGTGCTCCGAACAACTGAGCCACATGGGCTAGGGCAGGAGAATGGAGAATTTTAGTACCTGAACATGGGTATTAAAACATTTGGGGGAGGGGGGCAATGGGGGATAAGGACACATATATAATACCTTAATCAATAAAGAAAGAAAGAAAAAAAATCCATTCTGGAAAATAAAAAACCCCCCACAACATTTTGTTTGCCCCGCCAGTGTGGCTCAGTGTTTGAGTGTCGATTCATGAACCAGGAGGTCACGGTTCGATTCCTGGTCAGGGCACATGTCCAGGTTGCAGGCTTGATCCCATGGCGGGAGGGGGTGTGTGTGCAGGAGGTAGCTGATCAATGATTTTCTCTTATCATTGATGTTTCTATCTCTCTCTCCCTCTCCCTTCCTCTCTCTGAAATCAATAAAAATCCAAAACATTTTAGCCCTAGCTGGTTTGGTTCAGTGGATAGAGCATTGCCCTACAGACAGAAAGGTCCTGGGTTTGATTCCGGTCAAGAGCAAATGTCTGGGTTGTGGACTCAGTCCCCAGTAAGAGGCATGCAGGAGGCAGCCAGTCAATGATTTTCTCTCATCATTAATGTTTCTATCCCTGACTCCCTTCCTCTCTAAAATCAATAAAAAAAACAGACCCATATTTAAAAAAAATTTTTTTTTATTGAAACTCTCCAAACACATCAGAAAGGGGAATAGTAGAATAAATCCTATGCACTCTTCTACTGACAATGACCAACTTGTGGCCAGTCTTTCCATTTCGTTTCTTCTGTAGCACTCTTTCTCTCCACCCCCCATTCTATTTTGAAGCAAATTCCAAACATTTCAGAGTAATTAAATATCCAGTCAGTGTTCAGAGTTCTCTGGTGTTTCCCTCTTTAAGTACTTCTTGCTACTGTTTGCCCCCCTCCTTTTTAAATAGTTTGTTGCCTAAGACCATCCTGCATATCAGATATTTACATTACGATTCATAACAGTAGCAACATGACAGTTATGAAGTAGCAACGAAAATAATTTTATGGTTGGGTCACAACTTGAGGAACTGTATTTAAAGGGCCAGAAGATTGAGAACCTCTGGGTTAGGGCTATATATATACATATATATTTTAAATATGTTGTTTTCAGAGAGAGAAGAAGGAAGAGGGAGAAAGAGATAAAGACATTGGTGAGAGAGAAGCATGGGTCGGCTGCCTCCTGCACATTCCCTACTGGGGATCAAGCCTGCAACCTGGAATTGATCCGGCGACTCTTGGTGCATGGAATGACACTCAGTCTACTGAGCCCCACTGGCTGGGCAGTTGATATTTCTTGTCTTTTAATGGATAGCCTCCATTCTGTCCTTTTTAAAAATATTTTTTTTTATTGATTTCAGAGAGCAAGGGAGAGGGAGAGAGAGATAGAAACATCAGTGATGAGAGAGAATCATTGATTGGCCCCCTACGGACGATCGAGTCCACAACCCAGGCATGTGGCCTTGACTGGAATCAAACCCGGGACCCTTCAGTCTGCAGGCCAGTGCTCTATCCACTGAACCAAACCAGTAGGGCTGTCCTTATTTTTTGCGTGAAAAATTAGACCTTTGATTTGCAGAGTTTCTTTTGGTCTCAGTTTTCTGATGGCATCCCTCATGGTGTTTAGCATGAGTCTCTGTTCCTGAGATTCCTTATCAGTGGGATCAGGGGGTTTCATCAGATTCAGGTTCAATTGGTCGGGCAGGGGGAGCAAGAATACTTCATAGGTGGTGTTCAAGAAGCCCGCAGTGTCCGGTTGTTGGCAGGAAGCAATGGGGGGGGGGTCCCTTCTGGGAGGTAACCTTCTGGCACTTTAGCCTCCATGGCCCCTGGCCCTGTGCTCTCCTGTCTGTCTCTCTTAGGAGCGATTTTTTACAGGTAAACCAGACCATGAGAGGCTCATGTAGTTTTTGAAATCTGGGTGTATTTTACACTTTCAGGACATTTTAATTTGGACATTAAATTTTCATCAGGAATGCTTGATTTATATTTAGATTTAAAAGGGGAGATTCATGTAACAGTTGGTTCCCTACGTACTTAAAAGCTTTTTACTAACTGAATAAAGTACCAGAAAATTCTTTTAGTATTCGCATTCACATTGATAAAACAGCTTTCTATTTTAATTTTAGATTAATTAAAATAAAGTTTTAGTTCCTTAGTTGATGGAGTCATATTTCAGCAGTTGGCTATCATGTTGGACAGAACAGGCATAGAAAAGTGAAAAAATTTGGTTCCTCCTCTGTCATGAGAATGGAAATGTAGGGGTTCAGGGATTAAGTGACTGGATCTGATAGAGGGGCCTGGTCACATGATCAGGAGAGACAGGGATAACACCCCATCTGGCAGAGCCATGGGACATCTGCCTTGTGGAATGTCTTAAAAAGGACTACAGCCTGACCGGCATAGCTCAGTGGTTGAGCGTGGACATATGAACCAGGATATCATGGTTCGATTCCTGGTTACGGCACATGCCTGGGTTGTAGGCTTGATCCTATACATCCTCAGTGTGGGGTGTGCAGGAGGCAGCTGATCAATGATTCACTCTCATCACTGATGTTTCTCTTTAAAAAATATATATTTTTACTAGAGGCCCGGTGCACGAAATTTGTGCACTGGCGGGGGCGGGGTCCCCTCAGCCCAGCCTGTGCCCTCTTGCAGTCCGGGAGCCCTTGGGGGATGTCCAGCTGCAGGTTTAGGCCCGCTCCCCACGGAGACATCCTTAGTAGAGGCTCCCGCTACACTACTACGCTCAGCAGCCTTGAGCCCGGCTCAGGGCTTCTGGCTGAGCGGCGCTCCCCTGTGGGAGCGTACTAACCACCAGGGGGCAGCTCCTGCGTTGAGTGTCCGCCCCTGGTCGTCAGTGCATGTCATAGCGGCCGGTCATTCCACCGTTCATTTGATTTGCATATTAGCCTTTTATTATATAGGGTTGATTTCAGGGAGGAAGAGAGATTGAAACATCAATGATGATAGAGAATCATTGATCACCTGCCTCCTGCACGCCCTCTACTGGGGATGAAGCCCGCAACCTGGGCATGTGCCCTTGACCGGAATTGAACTCGGAACCCTTCAGTTCATAGGCCAATGCTGTACCCATTGAGTCACACTGGCTAGGGCTCATCACTGACATGGCTCTCTCTCCCTCCCCTTTTTCTCTCTGTAATCAATAAAGAAATATATTGGGGGGGGAAAAAGACTGTGGTTATTGGTAGCCAAACCTGGGGACTCTGATTTTTCTCTCATTCTCCAGCGGAGATTCTCCAGGCAAATGACCTCCTCACCCAGGGAGTTCTGCTGTACAAACAGGTGATGGAGGGCCGTGTCATCTTTGGGAACACGGTGACCAGCACAGCAGGAGACACACCTGACTCCAGAGGTAATGTGCAGAGAGCCTCTCTGTACCTGCTGCTTGGAGCAGCCTCAAATCCCAGAAAAGAGATCCTCAGAATATCCTGGGTTATGATGTGGAAATGAGAAAACTCTCCTTCTCCCTTTCCTGTGAGAACTGTCGCATGGGCCGTGATGGACTGGCTGGCAGGCTGGACCCCAGCTTTGGCTGGACACAGAAGCAGATGGCTGATTGCGCCCAGGTGTAGACTTCTTTTCTCATGTGTGCTTGCTTATGGGAACTGGAGACCAAAAAATGATCTTGAGTGGTTCCCAATGCCAGCTCGCTGCATCAGAGTCATCTGGACTCTGGTTAAAATGCAAATTCTTAGGTCCCTGGCCTTGGCTTTCTGAGTCAGGATTGCTTAGGGCTAGGCGAGGGGTGTGCATGTTTATCAAGCCCTGCAGGTGTTTCTGGTTGGCTGTGGTCAGGCACCTCGGAGGGGTTCTGAGCTGGCGGAGCCAGCTGGCTGTGTCCAGCCTGAATGGACCACCAGAGGAGGACTGGCTGCTGGCGGGAAGGCAGTCCTCTGGCTCCCCATTCCAGGCCCCACGCAGGCTCTCTGCCAAGCCTTCCACTTGAGGTGGAAGGTGCTGGGGGTATTGAGGGTGGGGTGCTGTGATGTCTTGACTGGGAGGAGGCCCGAGGGAAGCTGGTGGCTTTAAGTGGAGACCTTGCTCTCGCTCTGACTGAAGAGCTTCTCAATCCGTTCTCTAGTCTTGCAGAGTCCAGCAGCCTGCCAGAGGAGCTGCCTGATCGACTTGGAGCTGGAGGACAGTGAGTCTGAGCAGGCTGGGCCTGGGGCACCGTCTCTGCTTCATCAGGACCTGGCAGCCTTAGGTGAGGGGGTGGTTTGGGGAGCAGGCAAGAATGGTCCCGGCTCCCTGGGGAGTGAGTAGGCTGGGTCCCCTTGGGGACCTGTTTTTAGAGGGAAGTGGGTGTACTGGGAAGCTCAGAGGGGTCCTCTTGGCACTTAGTCTCAGGTTCACCGTGGGTGCGGTGAATGCCTGTGGGTTCTTTGCTTTGGGCTTGCTAAGTGCCCTGGAAAGGGTGGACATGGTGCCGCTCTCCCTCCTGTCGGGATGAGTGGTCGTGTGCATCTCCCTCTGTTCCTCTCTTGTAGGAATCAGTGATGCTCCAGTTACCAGCAAGGTAAGGAAGCTCTTCCCAGGGCCCGCAGGGGAGTGGAGGGACAAAGCTGCTTAGGGGAGGGGCTACTGTAGCTTGGGGTGCTGTAGACGTGGAGGCCAAAGCCTCTTCCTCGGTGTGCTGTGTTTGGCAGCCCCACAGGGCACACGTCCTCGTCTCCTCGTGCTGATCCTCTTCGGTAGTGCCTGGCCCTGCTCTTGCCCTCCTGCCTCAGGCAGGGTAATCAGCCCGGTGCGCAGGAGCTTTGGTGGGTCAGGAGAGCTGTGCCGCGTGTCACCGTGGCTAGTGGTCATTCCACCCTGGCCTCATCTTAGCTCTTACTGGTTTGGCAGGTTGCCGGGCAGAGTTGCTGTAAGGAAAAGAGGAATCCTGCAGGCACACTGCCGGGTGGCGGTGTTCAGAGCCCATCAGCAGAGAGGAGTGTGCTGGACCTCCTCTCCCCACAGCCACCTTTGGGCGCCCTGTGAGTCGTGTGGGCAGGGGAGGGAGACGAGGGCTGCTTGCATGAGGGCTGGGGTGACCCTCGAAGACAGGCAGAGACATCGCTCTGCGGAGGCTCCTTTGCTTCCCTCCCCTCCTTTTACTCCCATCCCAAGTGAGGAAAGGACACCCTTGGCCAAGGCCTCTGGAGAGGGTTTGTTTAAGCAGCAACAGCAGTATTAACGATGTTTTTGTTGTGTGTAGGTTGAGGGTTGTTTTTTTCTGATTATTATATAACTAGAGGCCCGATGCATGAAATTTGTGCAAGAGTAGGCCTTCCTTCCCCCGGCTGCCGACACTGGCTTCCCTCTGCACCGTGACCTGGGCTTCCCTCCAGCCGCCAGCAGGTACCCTGGACCCGTGCTTCCCTCACAGCCCCAGCTTTGTCTGGAAGGTGGTCCGGAAGGACGTCCAGTCTAATTAGCATATTACGCTTTTATTATTATAGACTTGAAGTTAAATAAAATTTGATCACTAGAGAAATAGTTAATATAGAAAGTCCCAAATATCAACTCCTAAAGACAATGTTGAATGCTCCTTCTTTTGCTTTCTTTCTATACATGTAGTAATGTGTTCTTGTCACTTATTTTTACACAAATGGGGTCATAATTTATAAACTGTACTCCAATGTGGATTTTTCTATATCACATTATATCTTTGATATGAGTGCATGTCAGTTTATATAAATAGTTATATGATTCATATATACTCATATACATGCATTTAATCATTTCCCTCTTGTGGATCTTTCCATTGCTTCCAGTTTGGAGGCACTTGGGGCAGTGGTTATAGTCCATGTTTCCTCAAGCAGAGGCGCTCCGAGCTATGAATGTGAACACATTTCCCGAGACCCTGCCCCTTTGCCTCTGGAAATATTAGCAGTTTGCCTTCTCTCAGCAGCCTGAGTGCCATGACCCTGGTGGAGAGAGACCATTGGGCTCTGGTGGCAGGGATGTGTGGGCGGGGCTTCTTTCCAGTTCTCTCATCACTCCACAGGGGCCAGTCATTCTTATTTCCATGGGTTACTTCTGTCTGGGCTTCAGTTTTCCAAAATGTTTTCAGTTTGTGTTGCAAATGGACAAAATCCTAAAGAAGTGTGAATGAAGTGGTGCCTGAATCTGTGACCACCTTCCTGGCTTCCGTCCCGCTGGGTATCACATGTGGGAAACAGCCTGGCTGAGCTGCCTGTGGTCAGGCTGCCTGAGAGCCACGTTGGTTACTTTATTAATAGTTTATTGGATCCTCATTATGTCACACATTCCACTGAGTGCTCTTCAGACATTTGCTCATTTAATTTTAACAACCCTCAGAGAACTGAGGCCTAGGTTAAATTACTTATCTAAAGTCACATACCTCTGCCCCAACTGGTGTGGCTCAGAGGTTGAGCATCCACCTATGAACCAGGAGGTCAGGGCATATGTCCGGGGTTGCGATCCCCAGTGCGGGGTATGCAGGAGGCAGCCAATCCATGATTCTCTCTCATCATTGATGTTTCTATCTCCCCCTCTTTATTCCTCTCTGAAATCAATAAAGTGTAAAAAAAATAGTCACATACCTCTAAAACACACACACACATGCTCACATATGCCTATACGTATATTTTTCTTTTTTCCTCTCTCTTATCTTGTTCTTCAGAAAGCCTAGCCACAGATTCCTGGAATTCTTGCTTGTCTTGATATATATATTTTTATTTCTTTGCAGGAATTATATTCCACAGAAAAATATCCCCAAGGAAGTGCCACCAGGGACTAAGTCCTCTCCAGGTTGGTCCTGGGAGGCTGGCCCATTGGCTTCGTCTTCCTCTTCTCAGAATACACCTCTGGCTCAAGTGTTTGTCCCTTTGGAGTCTGTTAAGCCCAGTAAGTGCAGTTTCACCTTTTTTCTTCTTTCTTTCCTTCTATTAGATGCCCAGCTTTATTCCCTGAGAAGTGAGTGTTAGAGGTTTTGCCTCAGGGCAGAGGAGGTGGTTTCACATCTCTTAGCTAATATTTTCCTTAATGATTTCTCTGTCTTGGGGTGGATTGGCAGGTGGAATTTAAAAACTAGGGGGATTGAAAAAAAAACAAAACAAAACTAGGGGGATTGAGTCTGCTTAGGTACTTGATGTTTGTTCATTTGGAATCAAGAAGGGAATGTTCACTGTGGCTTGAAATAATTTAGAAGAGTTGGAATGAGAAGGAAATGAAGGAATTGGTTGGTGATTTTCTTCTTCTAGGGATCCTCTAACAGCGGTCGCCAACCAGTGGTCCGCGGATTACTGGTCGTCTGTGAGGCCCGAAAGGTTGGCAACCGCTGCTCTATAAGGCAGGGAGTAGATTAGTATCTTTACCCCTTACAAAGGAAACTGCAGGCCACTAAGTAAGGTGACTGCCTGTGGGCAGCACTGGTATGTGAGCCGGAAACCCCTGAGCTTTAGATCTGAGGCCTGGCCCCCTTCTCCGGCACAGGCCCGGCCGTGGCCGTGGTGAGGTCAGCCTGCAGGGAGCCTTGGGACCAGGCAGAGGAGTTACACAGTCAGTGAGCTGTGGGGCCCTTTGCACAGTTACTCTGTTAAATTTTGATTTAAAAACAATCTATCTTCAATGTTAGTTGCCTGGTTTTGATAATTGTACTGTGGTTTTATAAAACATTAACATTTGAGCAAGCTGAGTGAAAGGTATATGGGAATTTTTAGTTAGCTTTACCACTTTTTATAAATCTGAAATTATTATGTCCTGGTCAGGTAGCTCAGTTGGTTAGAACATAGTCCTGATCTGCCAAGGTTGTGGGTTCGAACCACCAGTCAGGGCAGGTACAAGAATCAACCACTGAATGCATAAATAAGTGAAACAACAAGGTGATGTTTATTTCTTTCTCTCCTTCTCTCCCTCTCCCTCCCTCTCTAAAAAACTCAATTAAAAAAACTCAAATTATTACAAAACAAAGTAAAAACTAAAATTAAAAGCAAAAACATATATTTTCAATATAGAAGTTTTAGAAAAGATAGAATAAACCAGAAAATTAAAATCATCTGTACCATTATCACTCAGAAATGGAAGTTTTGTTAAAATCTTAATGTACTTTCTTGTTTTATCTGTGTGTGTGTGTGTGTATGTATATGTGTGTATGTATGTATATATATATATACATACACACACACACTAGAAGCCCATTGCAGGAAGATTCCTGCAAGAATAGGGCTTCCTCTGGTCGATCGCACTGCCAAGCCACGCCCGCCCAGGGCCGCACACGGGTCCCGCGGGGCTTAGGTGGCTCATTGGTGCCTCCAAGCCCCACTGCCCAGGGCCTCAGACAGGGGTCCCGGCTGGGGACAGGGCTTAGGCGGCTCGTTCGCTGTTCACTCTGCCAAGCCCCGCTGCCCAGGACCACTCATGGGGGCTCCCAGCAGGGGGCGGGGCTTAGGCGGCACACGAGGGCCGGATGGCAGCTCACACTGGCCCGCCCTGCCTGCAGTATGCAAATTAGCCACCATCTTTGTTGGTGGTTAATTTGCATATCACACTGATTAGCCAGTGGGAGGTGTAGTGAAGGTATGGTCAATTACCATGTTTGTCTATTATTAGATAGGAAGTTAAGCATTTACTAACCATTAACCCAGCAATCCCAAATGTAAGTTTGAAAAGGATTTTTAGAATATGTTTATAGCAGCTTTATATATAAACAGCCCCAAACAG